AGCCAGAGCAGCCAGAGACACACAAACAGATACAGAGATTAATGAAATAGATCTGATAAGCAAGTCAGACGTCCAGATAGAAATAAATGCCTGGAGATTTGGAGTGCTACGTAATATCCTAATTGGCTCTCAGGAGGGCTGAGCCATACCTGACCTGCACTGGGGAAAAACAGCCCAGGATCTTAACGAGATAATGATCGTCTCAGTAGTTTAGACGTATCTTCCAAAGTGGCTGGATCATAAAAATGGGTTTGAAATGACATTTTTCAAGAGTGTAGTTGTATTCAGGCATTTTCGGAGCTATTAATGCAAGAAGCACAAGCCTGGTAATTAAATCTAAAAATATCAAGCCATGATTGATGACCACTCAGCTCATGAGCATATAGAGTTAATGTAACTGCAAACACAGCTCTTAGTGGTTTTTAGCTTGGCAGGTGAAAACTGCCTGTTTTCTATCATCTGTCCTGGCTCAAGCTCTCAAAGTAAGTGATGCATTCTGGGAAAAGCAGATCTCTACATGTAACATATGTTCTAAGTATTATTATGATGACAGATAACTGGAAACATTATTACTGGTGAACACCTGATGAGAAACTGAGAGTGAAAAAGGAAAAGGGAAGAAAAAAAAGGCAACATAAGAGTGACAGAACCTGAGAGTGACAGCGGTGAGATGCAGTCAAGCTCGATTGTCATCCACAACAACACAATCACACGCAATCACGGCCTCAATTGCAACCTACAGATTGAAAAGGTTCCTCATGGACGCCTATCAACGGAGATAAGAATAAAGGATCCGTCAGAGCAGTCACGCATGGGCTGGTTAAGCCAAGGACAAAGTTCCACTACATAGGGAGAGCTGGGACCAATATTCACAAGGCGGAAGAGGAGAAGAGGAGGAAAGAGGCTCATCCAATTGCACTAAATAGGTATAAGGTAACAGAGCATCATGCACAATTAAATTCACACGCAAAGAAAACTGTAAACCTTAGGCATTGACACTACGTATACCACTGTTGTAAAAAGTTAATAACATGCAACTGTTTGACAAAAACCCTCCCATAATTAAACTCCTTTGTAAATAAGTCAGGGGATGGTGTCATATGCCAAACCAAGCATTGTGCCACATGCTATATCTAGGCTGAATCTGGTCTAAAGATGCAAGTTCAGCAGAATTCCACACATACTTCCTCATACCTACTACACAACGCCTGCAATCCAATTAAGTCAAAATCCAATAAAGGCTGCAGGTCTTTTGAGTGTGTGAGGTTATCACAATTAGAATATCCTACCAGTTAAGGGCTTGTTCAAAAGAGTTGGTTTTGGGTTGTTCTGACATGTTGCCTCCTTTAAAATGTCCATTCAACACGAGAGGCATTCTCTGTTGAACTGATGGTGAGAAAAACTACCAGGGGATTAGAAAAAAAAGAGAGAAGTTTGACCTTATCACAGATCTTATCTCAGTTATTGTATGCACTGTTTAGATCCTCTTTCTTCTCTATGAATGAAGATCAGTTAAAAGCTAAACTGTGCCTGTGAGTTTATGTGAGTAATAATGCTGCCTTGAGGTGACAGCTCTGAGCTGCGTCATCTGTGCAAGCGTGGTAATGAATGCTCATTTACAAGTGTCTTTACTGGCATCCTCACATATGCTGTTACACAAAAACAGAAACAGCGCATCCTTGAAATGCACTAGCACTTATTTCAATAATCCCTTGGATTCATTTGAAGCTCAAGAAATTAATCTGAGAATTTTAGGAAATAACATTCAAACGCAGGCAAGAAAATTAAAGGGATATTGTTGCATTAATGATTTATGATCCTTAATGGCACAACACTCCACAACCTAGCAATGGACAATGTTATTACAACAATGAAACAGGGTGAGGGTAGCATCATGCCTTTACCATCATCATTTCAGTTATAACTTATACTATCCAGGGTTCACAGACGACTATGACTCACAACCCAGAAGTTCACAGTCTTATTGGAAAAGGGACAACAGCTGAAAACTTAGAGAAAATACATGTTTTTCTCAATAAGCTTAGCAAAATATGACTAGTAAAAGCTTTTGTCTGCACATCTTCCCAGGCACAGTATACCCATCAACAGTCAATGCTGGGGTTGAAGTTAATGCAAAGTAATTGAAGCTTTTTTTTTACACCCGGTCTGCTGATCAGGTTTAGGGACAACCTTTGACACGTTGAGAGCCTTTTTGTCAGTCATCATGTTTGCTGCATACCAATATTCAAAATGCCATATTTACTTAATTTTATTCCAGGTGTTTGCCATTATTGGAAAGCTTGTTATTCACACATTCAGAATCTGTAAATAACTAAAACATCCCTAAGGATACTGGATTTGTTGTAGCCAGTCAAAGATGGAACTTTTACCTCCAATGGTTTTTTTTAACTAAAATTCAAAACTTGCTCTTCCTTCACTGTACATAATTGATCTTATTGATTTTCTTGGTGTTCAAGTTCTAAACATCAGAGTGACTATTCAGAGCTGCCTCACCAAGGTCACTATATTTCATGGAAATTTAACAAAAAATGTCTCCTTCCACCTTTGACCTGTGGAAGAATGTCAGATGTCAAGCTCTTCAACAACCTACTGATAGATCAGGACTGGCTGAAAACTCCATGGTTCTCTTTGGTTCCAAGTACTGGACTGAATGGCTGCACTTCCTTCACTTACATCTGAACTACTCTCTGAACTGCAGGGGTTGTTATTTTAAATAAATTCCCATTGCAACTCAACAGCCAAACGGAGCAGAGTTTGCAAAGTGGAAGTTCAGGCAGATTATGAGGGAGCGCAGCAGAGCCAATGTAGGGTGTATAAGCTGTCAATGCACTGCCCACTCCCGAGATTTGCTAAGGGACTGAATTTTAATGGGAGCACCGGGGTGAGAAAAGAGGAACAGTTTGTATTTTCCTTTTGCTAAAAGAAAATCAGGTTTTGTATTTATATTTTCAAATCCTTTTCTGTCAAATTTTCCTGCAAGCGAGAATATTTTAAAAGAATCAAAGCAGAACAAACTGTAGTGTCAAGCACTGCTTTCACTCAGATAACAGTCATGTTTATAGAATAAACAGAATTGCACAAAATGCAAACTAAATATAAAAAAAAATTGTATCCTTGCTAGCATTCTAAACGAGACCAAAAAACAAGTACAACATATGGAACAGAATATTATCTACAAGCTCGAGGTAGGAAAATGAAAAATGCACAAGAACCAGGCAGATGATAAAGTGCAGAAGCTCTGAGTGTGCATTGTTTTATTTTTACTTCAGAAAAATGATGAAGTATTTTAGTGACCTTTACACTGCGGATAATTTCAGTTGATTATACAAAAGATTGTAAAAATAATAGACACCTTTCTTATTTCCAAAATTTGTGGCTCACTAGACACGTATATGAATAAACCCCAAACCCTTGACCAAGACAATATTTCTGTTCAAATTGTGCAGTAAGATGTTTTCATGTCATCACAAGCACGTCCAGCCATCGATGTCACCACAGCAAATGCTGTATATAAAAACCATTACTTAAACCTGATCTCTGTCTCTTTAAGAAACTCCTGCTCTTTCCCCACACTGCCTTCAGCACATCATCACAAGAAGGCTTCTCATCATCAGCTGATTATAGTAACTTCTCCCAATAAGCACCATTCTTAAAAGTGTTGGACTGAGAAGTAGATCATATAATAAGCTCAGCAGATGCCCAGTTTCACCAGGTGTTTTCTAATTGTTGCTGCCGCTAGTCTGATGGAACAGACTGGCGTGGGGGAGAGCTCGGTTATAGTCAAGGAGGAGCTCGGTTATGGCGCAAGGAGACCACAACACAAAACAGATGAGGTCTTTTCAACTATTAGATATTTTGTTTCGTCTCTGATATGAAATGAAAACACTAAAACATTTTTTAGCTAAAAAAACATTTTTGTGTTTCTCTCCACATCTCCCTCAATTAGTACATGCCATTACAGCATTTCATAACCAGCATTTGGCAACCATGAACCTAAAGGGATTTTATGGATTCAACTATGAGGAAATGTGATTATGTGACTTTAATAAATATCCAACACAGCAGGAGGTCGCTAAGACCTGCTTTAGTTCTGTCAGGCAAGCTATTAGAATTTATTTCAGAAGTCGCCTGTGCGTCATAACCAAAATAAATGGAAGTGGGAGATGATTCCAAGTTTTCGGAAAATAATATATTATAATTATACAACTACAGGTGATAAAAGTACTGTTTTGTAACTAACTTCATATATCTTGAAATACAATGGAACCTTTTAGGCAGGAACTACCTACCACATCTTCTTAATCACATACAAATCCAGACTTTCACTAGGCTGCTGAAAAACCTTCTGTTGTTTCAACAAATCAGAGGTAAAGTGGTGTCTGTCTTTGTCTTGTCATAGGTAACCATTTAACCAAAAAAGGAAATATTAGTTATTTGTATGGCCATGTTGGGGGGGATACATTTCTGTTTCTTAATAAATAAAATTATAATTTGAAAACTGTATTTTGTATGTAGTTGTCAGATGCAAAAAGATGTGGAAGAAAGAAAGAGGAGATACCTGAAACTGGAGGAAGTACTTCTTGAATAATTTTGGGTTTCTACTTTAAAAACAAAAATAGCAAAATTCATCAGGCCTAAAAATGACAAATTTTTACTTTTTTTCCACCACTTGTAAATAATAAACTTTTGTACATCATTGCACATCATTTTAATATTGTTTTAATAATGCTTTAAAGCAATGTTATTGTTTCAATGCGATTAAAACATCCTAAAAAAAATTTTAATAGCACTTTAAATACTTGAGTTGAAGACCCACATAACAGAAACATGAAATACAAAAATAAAATCTGTATCTGTAACCTTCTTCTAATATTAAAGCTGCCCACTCCGACCTTTACGCTGAATAGAACAGCCAAGAGAAAAACAAACAGCTGGAACAAGGCTTTATGTTTCTGACACTGAGGTCATCCAGTTCTTACCCAGAAGTGTAATGATGCAGCCCAGAATAGCCAGAAGGGCGCCAGTGCTAAGGCCAGTTGCCGTGTAGGCCACAGCTCCACAAGACAGGGCCACGCCATCCGAGTCACAGTCACATACGCGCACCGAAAGCGTGTTTGTACTGCTGAGGGAGGTGGGTTTTCCGTTGTCTGTAATCAACACGGGCAGTCGATACACGGCCTGCTCCCGTCTCCTGAAGCCACCTCGTTTCGTCAGTATGGAGGCAGTGTTGTCTGCAAAAGAGAGAAAAACACAAGTTAATGGTGCATCCATCCAATGTAGATATTAACAGCAGATAGTGTTATGTCCCCCAGTGTTAAAAACACAAGTGAAAGTTAATGATGTTAATTTGATGGGGTTTTTTTCCACAAGATTGGAAAGTATAAATAGATTTTGTGTTTTGTTTTATTCAGAAAAATATATCAAAAGTGCTATAATTTTTAAAAAAGCTGTGAAGTAGGCTTTTAGTGATTGTTTTGCTGATGGATTGGGCAACCAACAGCTGGCGTGGTCTAATATTGCGTCAGCCAATGGGTTGATTGTCCCGCCCCTTTCACCACTGCGCTGTGATTCTGCTCAGAATGCATCAGATGCGTTTGAGAACTCACAGCTGACGGTTGTTTTCATTAGAGCCTGAAAGACCTTATAAAATCTGGACAAACGGTAATTAAAACAATATTGGTATATTTTCTCAAAATATATAATTGAAAATAGTAAATTCGTTTTTTTTGTCTCTGAAAGTTTACTGGTGAACACCTGAGAGCAGCTGAGACTGAAAAAAAAAAAATCCCCGTTAGCGTCAGACACCGTCAGATCGTTGGTGAGTGACCGCACGCGCTCGGCAGTTGGCTCAGTGGATTGGTTGAAAATTGGCAAAAACACGTAATAGACCTTTTTCACGACAACCGGAAGCTGTATCTGATAGGGCTGCGGCACTTCCTGTTTTGGTGACTGTAATTCAAGTACTCTGAAAATGGCTCTCCTCCTTCGGTCCTTTTCATCGTCCTTACTTAATTTGCCAGCCCTTTCTTTCGCTGATGCGGAGGAAATCGCAGCAGCTAATTCATCCACCAACAAACGTGTGAAAGGATACAAGTTCTTTCACGAAAAATATATCCACCGCTATCAAGGCCCTTTCAGAGTGGTGTGGTTCTTGTAGGCAGAGAACGTTTCAGACTGTAAGGTCATGATGGCGTTTCCAGAGCAACTTCTGTGCAGTCCAAGATGACGCGGACATTTGGAGAGAACTTCAGAAATTTCTGAGGCATACTGGCTTTTACTTTCTCACGACTAATCCACAGGTTGATGGAAGAGAACACAATGAAGAGGTAGTTGGCCCAGGAGATGGTCACTCGGCTGACAGTAGTTATACTGACTTGAAACATGTCAGCAATGAGCTGCTCCTTCATGCCCACTGCAACCCTGAATGAGTACATCAGGAACTCATCAATCAGAGGCATGCAGCGGGCAGGGCTGCCTTCAGCACATGCTTCCTCTCCAAGTTTCTGTGCTCTGGTCCAGTACACCAGGCGTGATGCAGAGGGTGCAATGGACTCCCAGAAGATCCAGAACACACATTCAGATGGAAATTTGGTGTAGAAACGGATCTGGTCATCAGAGGCACAGTAGCGGCTAAAAAGTGTAGCAGACAAATCCACTTTTTGAAGTCTGGCTTCCAACTCCTTAATATAATCCAGAGCTTCATCAAGTGCACCTGTAAAACCACAAAATAAATTATCAAAACATACGATTTGCAATAAGTTTTAATTCGATATTTGAAACATTATTTCTGTGAAGATCAATACATGTTGTGAGTCGGAGCATGTATGTATACTTAATCTGTCCACAAAATACATAACCACATAATCTCATAATTTAATTATTATGTGATCATAATAATAAAAATATTATTATAGTAACAGTTATATTTTACTGAAATTATCTTACATGGAAAATATACTGCTCAAAAAATAAAGGGAACACTCAAACAACACTATATAACTCCAAGTAAATCAAACTTCTGTGAAATCAAACTGTCCACTTTAGAAAGCAACACTGATTGACAATCAATATCACCTGCTGTTGTGCAAATAGAATAGACAAGAGGTGGAAATTATTTTCATATTTATTTCATTCATTCAGATCTAGGATGTGTTATTTGAGTGTTCCCTTTATTTATTTTTTTTTTTTTTTTTTTGAGCAGTGTAGATACAATATACTATCTTTTACCTGCGGGTGGAGGTGCCATATAATCATGGTCCGCAGTAGCATCTTCAGCTTGGCTAGCTTTCTGAGAGGACAAACTGCCGTTTATAGCCCTCTCGAAAGCAGACTCTCTCATTGCCGGTGCAGTGAAGTTATTCCAGGCAAACAGGGAAGGAACAGCTCCACTTTTAAGCCGGCTGGTGGTGGATCCGCTAACAAAATCCTCCGGTGTGAATTGGCGGCTACATACGAAAGTGCTCCCCGTCTTTATGCAAAAGTCCGGACCTTCATCTCTTCGGATCACCTGGATCCACTGCCTCCGTTGGTCCGGATCCGTCGGGAACGCATGATATGACAGATAAGGCTGTTTTCTTCCCCTACATGAACAACCAGGGACTGAACAAAAACAACTGCGCCGAGACTGAGCCATTTTCCTAGCCTTTTAATGCTAACGGTTCAGCCACCGGAAGTTGTCCAACCCCACATCCGCTTTCAAACCCAGAAGCGTGAAAAAGGTCTATATCTGACCAAATTTAATAAAAAATAAAGTAGCACAGTAAGATTTTGTATTATTATTGTTATGTATATTATATTTTTTTTTTTTTTGAGTACATGTCCTAATAGTTCAACAGTTCTATTTCAGTTATGTGCTTTTTCCTTTGGCATTATAAGAAATTTAGATTGAAATATATTATTATTATTATTATTTTTTTATTATTATTATTATTATTATTATTATTATTATTATTATTATTATTTTTATTTATTTTTATCTACCACATATTAAGCTAATTTCTTTAGTTTTACTGATGTGTAAGTGACATTGTATTCTCATAAACTGATGATTTTTGTACAACTTGAAAAGCAAAACTTGAGCAATGATGGAAGATCTCTGAATTATAACAATTTATTGATACATAGGTTTAATTGATATTAGCATCTTATATTCTAAGATGTTTTACTTTGGCCTTGTTCCAGGTCAGTTTTTTTATTTATTTATTTATTTATTTTATTTTTTTACGATGCACTTTTGGCCTGGAGTGCCCAGAGACTTAAAGACCCACTTCTTCTGAATTTGGATGGCGTGTCCCAGCCCAGAGAACCCAGTGAGATGGTAGATAGTGACCCGACTGGTCACTATCCTTGAAATACTGAGAGAATTGACTGACACATTGGAAGAGACTGGACAAACACTGAATTGACTGATACATTGAAACGACTGTTATTTATTTTATTTCCTGTTTTTAAAAAAACTACACGCCATTTTGTTGCAATTGTACATGTGGATCCATAATTGTTTTTATTATTAAATTCTTGTTGACACTTTGTGCACTCCCTTGTTGTCATTCACACCTAGGCTCCAGAAAATGTAGAGTCTTTTGATCCGGCCCAACTTCTTTTTAGATATTCTTTCATAGCATTGGTGCTGGTCAGAGAAGTAAATTAAATTACCTGCCTTTTGCTATTATTAGGTGTATTTAAAGTAACTTGTGGGTTACAGTTACACCTTCTTTGCTTTGTTCATGAATTTTTAAATGACTTCATCAGAAAGGCTAGCAGATGGTATCATTAACACAGTTTGTTATATGACACACAGTTGTCCCTTCATGTGGTCTTGACCACCTGTTGGCTAATAACAGCTTTGGTTTTATAGTCAAATTTTATGTCAAATCTCAGTATGAAAGAGAGCTTCAGGAAAACAGAGAGCCATTATAGCATCTAAAGAGAAGGAAAAGCATTTCATGACGGCTGTATCAATAGAATGAAATTTACTCTCAAACTGAGCCGCCATGATTGAAATGCAGATTTCACCATAAAAGATGGTTCCTTTGTCTTCGTTTGTTTTCAGATCTCTTGAGAAAAACAAAAAGTGAAATTTATTACAAAGAGAGGCTCTATTGTTACGGAAACACGACCACCTAGCAATAAAAAGAACAGCTGGTTTACATAAGAAACATTAAGAAAATCCCCTTAAAATATGAGCTGGATATTTTCCCTTGAGTAAAAACAAAATGCACATATCAGTCAAAAAGATTAAATTAAATGGATGGCAAGGTAAAAATTTACTTAAAGCTGCAGCAAGTAGCATCTATAAAAATGCTGCCTGCTGCATTTTTACATACTTGTTAAAATTGTCATTATGACAGTAGGACCTGAGATAGTTAATGTGTGAAAATCGAAGCTCCTCTGCCTCCTCCCTGTGGCCCTACTGCCATTTGCCACCAATCAAAATTAGGAAAAATGTCAATCATGCAATGCATTTATGTAGTTGTTAATGTTACTTCAAACAGTTGGTTATATACATGCTGCTGCTGCCTTTGTGATTTTTTTGGAAAGCCTTCAGATACATTCCCACTTCAAGTCATGTAAGCATCAGTAAGGTCAGAGTTCAGGAAACATGTTAGGGTTTGGAGTTAAAGCTGCAGTGTGTTCCTTGAGTAAAAACAAAGTGCATATTTTGTTTTTACTCAACTGACAGCTTTAAAATGGTTTTTGTTCACCCTTTGCATCAAAAACAGGTTCGACTCTTCTGTGAAAGCTTTCCAACTTTATTTTTTGGTATCTTTTTTAACGAGTTTGTTGCTTAATCTGCATGACATGTTGCAAACTAAAAACGATAAATTTTTGGCTTTCTATTAACATTATAGTTCTTCTGGTCACTCTTATTTAAAAAAAGTAGATATTTTGGGTGCCCTCTGTTCATTTAGTTCCACATTCACCTGCATACTGGGTCAGCTAGAAGATTCTGAAAGATTTTAATGTTCTAAAAAATACTTCAAATTTAAATGCATGAAATCAATATTTTCTGAAATTATATATAGTATGTATTTACTAAGTAACCATAAAAATCTATAAAAATTCACTTACAGAAATAGTCAGTCAAGGCTGTCCCGGACTGATCCTCAAAAATTCATTTGCCTCCGTACGGGTATGAAAATTCATTTGCCTCCGTACGGGTATGAAACAGGTCTTCCAATGCAGACTAGATAATCCCTTGTCTGCTACCTGAATTACCTTGAACATACACTTCAGTGTCTAACGTGTTCACACTCACATGGATTACTCTGGCACAGCATGATGGCTGCTGCACCTTGAGAAAAGGTATGGAGTGAGCCTCAACTCATCTCCCACACAGGTGAGTGCACCACTCAACACAGGGCATCGCCTCAGAGAGTCTATCAGCCCTGAACATGTTTCTTTTTTTTCAAGGCAGCAGGGATTTGTGAAAGCACATAATCATAGAGTCAAGTACCACTCTCTCTAGTATATATGTCTACATAGAAATTAAAATGAAGTTTTCCACCCACTTTTATGTGTGGGAGGGCAGCAGACTATGTTGGTACAAAGGTAGTCACATTTTGCGTCTAAAGGTTAAAGGTATATTGTTTGGTTGAAAAGGAATGCTGTTGCAGACTACGTGGTGTTACAAATAGAGGCATCTACCATATGGTTTTGTTGATTTTGCTTCATGTATTTAACTGAAATGTGGCGTAGGTGGTATATACTCTGCAGAGTCCCAATGAGGGATGGAAAGAGTCAATTGCATTGGCTGGTTGAATTAAAATGATGCAAGCAAACCCATCGTGACATACTTTCATGTGGAAAATACGCAGAATACGCTTTAAGGCATTTCTGTGTTTTTCAGAAATTTTGGGACAGACCTATGTTTGATCAATCTTTACAATAATGATATATATTCATAATAAAATACTGATAAAATATATTAAGAGATGCTTTAAAATTTTGTGTAGCTGAGACATTTAGCTTGGAGTCCATTTGTTTCTGGTAAAGAAACTCAGCTTCACTGTTTCCTCTATTGTTTCTTACATCTTCCTTTGTATTTTGTTTCTTAACTACACTGAAATGTGATGAATACACAAAGCACTTGTAAACAACTGTATTAAACAAAAATAAATAAAATCGATGACTTAGAAAAAAGTATATTTTCAAAAATAGATATGGCTCATTCAAAATTAAATTGCTTTCAAAGACCTGTATGTGCCATCACTAATAAAAAAAAAAAAAAAAATATATATATATATATATATATATATATATATATATATATATATATATATATATATATATATATATATATTTATGTAGTTAGTTGACAGTAGAACGACCAATAAAGTGACAGAAGTTAGAGCTAAACAAAAATAGGAAAAATATATTCAAAGATTTAGCAATTCCCTAATTTAAAGGTAAGCAAAGTAACAACTGTTTAAACTAGAAATGACAAAATAAAGGCCTTAATAACCAAACATTGTTCTGCTTTCTTCTCCAAATAAAAAATTTCTACCGACTCCAATGATTTATTTGGTGCTTTTAGAATCAAACAGTCACAGATTCTGTGTGTGTGTGTGTGTGTGTGTGTGTGTGCATCTGGCACTCTTCTATAAATTCACAATGAAGAGTAAACCACTATCTTTGAACAGCATCAAAGAGTGACACAGAAAGGCAGTTGCACCTTTGTTATCTCGCAGGGTGAAATTCAGGTTGCCGGCGATGGTTGCATCCAGGGAAAAATTAAAGTGATGTTTGTCCAGAGGTTCGTCCTTGTCCACAGCACTGATGGTCTGAATCACCTGAGGAAGAGAGGAACAAAGCAAAAAAAACCAAAAAGAAAACAGACGTTTCAGATCAGTTAGCTTGGTGATCTTTATCCTATCTCACAGTCCAATTTGCTGTGAACTGAAGCTGTAAACTGCTTAATAGGTTCATGGAGTCAGAGGATGCTCAAATGTGTGGGACATCACTTAGGAGTGCATTATGGTATAATGTAATGTAAACGTATTTAATCAAAGTATTTCCTCTCTTTGTTAGACAGATATAACCTGAGTAAATATAAAAAGCAGTTTCCAAATGATGGTTTGGCCCGCTATGAAAATATAATCCCACCCCTTACAAATTTAGAAAAATTCTAGCAAAGTGGGCGGAGTAAACGAGGGCGTGGCCAAGTGCAAGGATGGTTGTTGTCAGGACGACAGAAGCTAACTAATATGCTCTCTCACTCTATTTAGCCACTTTCTACAACTTTTTTTTTCTTTTTTGTTTTTTTACCAAAAAACCAACTGGCAATAAATCTTCAAACTTTCTTTCCAGTCATGTTGGAGATTTTTACAACGCCCTGTAGTATTGGTGCAACCCTGCTCTGTTCTGAGCAAGTGCTGCCATGAGCTCATTCCACTTTCAAACCACTGCAGACAGTCTGACACAGTCACCATCCAGCAGAATACCCGTCGCCAGTAAATCACACATTTGTAAAGCTGAGTAACGCTGCTGATCAATATTTGCTGTGGTCACACTCACTGTTCCAACTCCTGACTCGCCACCGGGTGGGGCTGTGTGTCTGAGCTCAGAGAATAAACTTTAAAATACTTCACTTAGTGCATAAAATAATGAATGGCTTTGTAGCAGAATACATAAAAAAATCTGTTCTCATATCAATCTTTCTGACCACTCAAGTTTTCTGACTCCAGTCTATTCTAAATCTCCAGAACCAGAGCCAAACATGGAGAAACAACAGTCAGTTATTATGCTCCTCTAATTTGGGACAAACTTCTAGCAAACTGCATAAAGTCTGAAACACTGAGTTTCCTTAATGCTAGGTTAAAAAACATCTGTTTAGAGTTGCCTTTCATTGATAATAACTGGAACACTGATCAATATTGTTGATCTATATTTGCTTGACAATTTTGATAATGACATTTTTCAAATGCCATTAAGCAAATTTACGTGGAAATGTCAACATTTGGAAAGAAAAAAAAATATTACCTTAAATAATGTATTTAGTCAAATCCAATGGAAGAGTAAATAGTTGATGTAAGGAATAAAGTTGATTTCATTCCTTTAATATACTAACATACTAACATGCAAAAACCACTCTAGATATTTCCTCAGATTTTCTTTGCAAATAACATATAATTATCTAAAATATTTACATATTAAAAAATGAAATAAAAAAAAAAGCTTAAAATAGTAAAAAAAAATTTCAAAGTACTGTATATCTGGTCTTCTTCACTATGACAAATTTAAACACATCAAGTGACAAATCCTGTTTGAAGGGCCAAGTGACCGAGTGAGTGGATTAGAGAAAACCAACCTAATTCCTATTGATGGAGAAGGTTGTTTTATAACTATTGGCATGGGCTCTGTGTCATTTGTTCCCTGTAGTACAGTAAGTGCTTATTTGGCAAGAGTTTAGCAACCTCTTAGGGGTAAAAATGTTTTCTTTTAGGAAGTGATTTCTCCAAAGCAAATAATTTCAAAGAGATTATTTCTCTGTCCCAACTGTTGGCTTTTAGCACATTTCAAGTTTTTACAATAATAAAACATTGCTTAAAATAATACCACCATAGTTCATTTAAAAGGATGACATACAAGCATCTCTATCCTATGAGAGAGGAAAAACTGGCTGTCGTGATTAAAATGTTTTAATCAATAGGTTATAAAACAGTTTATTGCTGCTGTAAAGTTGAGTATTTTATCATGGCGCTTCACGAGGAGTCACTTGTCTTTGGAGGCAGCTGAAAGTGACAAGGTGCTGCAGTGTTTGCCTGGTAAACAGGTCACTTCAAAGGAATGTTGAAAATGGTGTATGGTGTGACATGTAAATGAGATGCTGTAGAAACTTAGAAATGTTTCAGGAATTTTCTTTCCTTGAACTGTGTGCCAAAAGCCCTCGAAACAGGGCCAAGTTCGATTAACTACTTCACATCTCGAAACATGAATCAGTACGAAGACAATCATCAGCTTTTCCAGCAATCTAATATAAGATGGTATGACTTCATTTCATTCCAGGATATAAATGTATTCATTTTCTTGTTTGTCTTGGCAAACTATAAAGCACTTAGTTCCAAGTCAGTCTGAGTCTTTGGTAATTACCTATACATTGTAACTTTGTCCAGTGCTACTTCTATTCTGTACCCTTAAGAAAAGGCTATTGAATATCAATATGTATCATTATTTTTTTCACTAGTGTTTTCCTACTTAATGGACAGAAAAAGCCAAAAAACTTTATATGGGACTTCACTCATAATTTGGTTCTCATTCCTATTTTGACCAGATGTTTCTTTAAAAAGGTTAAAGATTAGGACTCTTGATTAAAACAAAATAATTGTAAACAATCTGTTCCTTGGAGTCACAAAACTATTGTACGTCACACAGTAGACAGCAAACAAAATTTAGATAAGCAAATTTACAATTGTAAATACAAAATAAAAATTAAACATCTATTTAATCCAGTCATACAAACAGATTTAAAGTTATTTACATGTGTTCCAATTTAATAATCACAAAAAATGATCTGTATACATTTGCTGTAAAGTGTACTGAAAGCTGAAGATGGGAACATGGCAAGGACCAAACTACTACTGATGTGTCTTTACCCATTTTTATTTCTTGCCTTTCATAATAGTTGATTGACTTTTTAAATATTTTTAATCAAAACTGATTCTCAAAGCTTTCTTTTTTTTTGGCAAATCCATTAAGTCAATCTTAGAACAAAGCTTTGTCTGTTTTTGCAATTAGCAAGAGAATGAAACTCCAACTCTCACAGGGAAAGTTGACAACACACACAATCCTCTTATTCTAATATCCCGAGCAGCATCGGATCTGTTGGCCTTGAGCACCACATGAAAAATAAATACAATGTCAGCTCAGTCCGTTGCGTGTCGTGACACTAATGCTGTCCAAAATAAATGTGTACGCTGTGCAGCCAGGCATGTTTACTTCATTATTTGGAATGAAAATGACTCACTATAAGAACTGCTTTCGCTCGAGGCGTTGCAAGACAAGAATTTATATCTGTGAGTGAAACAAGTATTCGCTGTTTGTTTTGGCTCTTTTTGTTCCGCTTCTGAACCTCGGACTAAGAGAAGCCTTACTGCCTTTATTATGCAACAGAGCTGACAACTATAAAGACTGGAGGAAGTATTACTAAATAATCCAATTTATCCACACCCACCAGCGTGTGCCATAATTATTATTTTATTCATACAAAACACACTTTCTAGAAATCGAGTTATCTCTCAAAGAATTGAGCAGCCAGCTGTAGAAAAACAGGGAGAAACAGACCTGAATGAGTACATCCTATACATGAGAGGAACATCACACACCAAGATGCCATATGGACGATTAATGATAGCCACTGGGACGGTCATCAAAGTTGGAGTTACTGTGGCAATGCTCACATAAATTTACATCAAGCCTCCCGAGTCTTTTGTAGCTGATCTAGGAACTCAACCCTGTGACAGCTGACACCCATGGATGTGATCCAAGAGATTTTTAGAAGCAATTCACACATGATTATCACATCTTCCAGCCCCAAACAGCTTTTTGTCTAACATGAAGACAAAAATAAGGAGAGGGGGACTAGAAGGGCGAGGAAGAAAAAAATGAAAGTCAATGATCCATCAGGGCAGAGACATGGATTATCAGTTGTCAGCTGTGATTAAATGCTGCTGGTTACAAGCTGTCAGGTATTAAGTATTCGTGTAGGTGGCAAAAAATATCATGCCAATTATTAAAACTGGCAGCGAGGGAGACAAAAAAAGTTAAAACACACTGCCTTGAAAAAGTATTTATACCCCTTAAACCTTTCCAGTTTTTGGTAGAACCACAAACTTCAAATGTTTCTTACTGGGACCTAATATGAAAGACACAGTTTTCAAATTTGTTTTTAAACAAATATAAATCTGAAAAGTGTGGCCGGCATTTATATTTAGCTCCCCTTGCTCAAAATCTTCTATCAACATCTGGCTGTCGCAACAGCTAACCTAAAAGCACCCATTCAGCCGTCCGTCCGTCCCGTCCGTCCGTCCGTCCGTCCGTCCGTCCGTCCGTCCGTCCGTCCGTCCGTCCGTCCGTCCATCCATCCATCCATCCATCCATCCATCCATCCATCCTTCCATCCATCCATCCATCCATCCATCCATCCATCCATCCATCCATCCATCCATCCATCCATCCATCCATCCATCCATCCATCCATCCATCCATCCATCCATCCATCCATCCATCAGTTTGGTTTTGGATAGAGTTGCGGAGCCCAGAATTACTTTTACTAGCTGAAGAGACCATGTTTCATTTGGGGTACGGTGTGTGTATTCCCTCAACTCTGAACAACTTTTCTTGCACTGTTACCTTGCAATTTCAGAATGTAACATTTGTGCACTGTTCACTTCTGTACTTTTACACTGGTCTTAATGTAGCTGTTTATTTATGTTTTATGTGATGTAAACTGCATCTGGAATATTGATAAAATATGTTTTTATTGCTATGTAGGTAGCAAAAATGTCAAAAAAATGTTTACTTAATTTTGCATCCCTCTAGTTACTCTCCTTGTAGATGAAAACAGAATTTGTAATGAAAATAAATTACAGATAGTTTCTGTTTTATTGGGTTACATCTGGAAGCAATAGCTTGCAGAGGATTTTAATTAGGGACAATAAAGAGGACAACTGCACACCACACGTCAGATGTTTAGTTGCAAAAAAATATTGAAAACATATTTTTCTTCCACTTCCGACAATCATACTCCGTGTTGTGTTGGCTTAGCACTTAGCACTTAGCAACAGGGGTGTGA